CGTCCTGCTCTCATCCTTGTCTCTTCCTTTTTTTTTTACCCCCCACCCTCCCCCCCCCCCCACCCCCACCCCCCTCCTGCCGCGCCCAGCCCCCCCCTCCCGAGCGCGCTCCCGCGCAGCCGCCGGGAAGAGCGCAAAGCGGGGGGGGGTGCAGAGCGGAAAGAGCGCACGGGGAGGAGAGACAGGAGAGCGGGAGCTGCACTCCAATATCGCTCCTGGCCAGGCTGCTCCCGCGTTCCCGAATGACCGACAAGGTGACGTTTTCAATCCCAATGCTCCTCCTGGCCTTGGGCCCCTGGGAGCCCGTTATGGGATCCCAGGGGCCACCAAAAGCAGGTCCGGAGCGAAACACCAGCCCCGCGGAAGGGATCGGGGCCTCCCTGGAGCCGCCACCGAACAAACCATACGGGGGGGGTCCGGAAACCCTGAAGCCAGAAATGTTGACATCTCTCGGGAAGCTGATGTTTGCTTCCGCCGGCCTTTTCGCTGGCCTTGTTCACCTCCGCCGCCTTCCGCCGCCCCCTGCCGAGGAGGCTGTGCCAACTTCTCGATCCCTCGAAGACGTGGCCCTGTCTGAATTACCCCCCATCGTCGGATGTATGGTTATGTTGTTCCCATCCGACTTAAGGACCGCATCCCAGAAATAATTCCGAGCACCCGGAAATGTGTCAAAAGAGTGTCGAAACAGTGTCGGGCGAGTGTCTCACAGGGCCCGGCACGTGAAAACCCTTGGCGCTCGAAATTCTTTCTGGTGGTCAAGGCTCAAGTAGGTTGGAGCATCATAAATGTATGGGGGACCCCGGACCTCTGGCGACTGCGGCAAGGGCTCAAGCGGATGTGCCTCCGCTGTGTTCACGGCGTCCCAGGGGGAGCGCCGGGCCCCCGCCCCTGGCGGGGGCCGTCTGGCAAAGACTGTCTGGGGGAGACTGGGCAGGCCCAGAGGAAGGTGTCGAGAGGTCTCAGGGCCGCGCATCGGCGAAGACAACAACGTCGGGGGTTTTGGGAGGAGGGAGGACCTCCTCCACCCTTCTCCCCCCTGCGCCTTCCTCCTACCCCTCCCCCAGCTTCCCCTCCCCGTTGTCCCCCTCCTCCCCCTCCTCCTCATCCTGCTCCTGCCCCTTCCCGTCCTCCTCCTCCTCCTTTCTTCCATCTCCTCCTCGTCCCCTCCATCTCCCCCCCCTCCCTCCTCCTCCTCCTCCTCCTCCTCCTCCTCCTCCTCCTCCTCCTCCTCTCCTCCTCCTCCTCGCTCCTCCTCCTCTCTCCTGCCCTCCTCCTCCTCCTCCTCCTCCTCCTCCCCCTCCCCCTCGCCCTGCTCCTCCTCCTCCTCCTCCTTCTCCCCCTCTTCCTCTCTTGCATCCTCCACCACCACCTCCTCCTTCTCCTCCTCCTCCTCCTCCTACTCCTACTGATCATCCTCTTGATCATTCTCCTGATCCTCCTCCTTCTGTCCCCTCACCCATCCTCCCCCTCCTCCTCGTCCTCCTCCTTGTCCTGCCCCCTCCTCCCCCCTCCCCAGACGGCTCCCGCGCGCCGAGGAAAAGCGCAAAGCGGCATGGGCGGAGGTCCGACGTTGCGAAACAACTACAACATCGTAAACCAGAGACGGGGGTAATAGAAGGAGTGGAAGCAAGGGTATGGGGGGTAAGCATGGGGTCAAGCATGGGGAGTGGAGAGGGAGGGGGAAACCAGGGTAGCGGGGAGTAGAACAGGGGAGAGGAGTACACTGCAACGGGGCTGCAACTGAGGACTGGGAGATGAAACCCCGCAGCCGAGCAAAGCTTAGACAAACGAGTGGTGGCATGGGCGCCAATAGCAAGACACACGGATTACATCGTGGGATCTCATCCCCCCCCCTCGGTCTGCTGCTCTCCCACCTCGACTTTCCACCTCCTTCTCCTCCCCGTCCTCCTCACATCAACGCCCCCGTCCTCCTCCTCCTCCTCGCCTACTCCGCTTGCCCTGCATCCTGCTGCTTCTCTCATTGGCGAGCTCGTGCTGTCGGCGACTGGGCGTGGCCCTGCAAAAGGCGGGCTGCCCATGCGCGGCAACCTTCGGCGCCAAGGAGCAAGCGGCAGTGGAGCTTCGGCCTGAAGTCTATGTAAACTAGCTAGACACTTCACTGCCAGTTCTCATCATGCGTGCGACAGACGCTCAACCACTGTGCACTCCTGTCGTGCATCCCGCCAGCGCAGGAGCCTCTTCGGAGAAAGCGTCTGTCCAAGTTTCGAGGGATGTGCCCCCCATGTCCTATGACCAATAACGAAATCCCCTCCCCCGGCCCCCCCGAGGGAGGACCATAGGGGAGGACCAACTTAGCGCAGGCCACACCGGCTCGGAATCGGCGATGTATCGCCGATAGATCGGCGGTATGCCCCCTGTAGCGGGGTGGGCCATCGGGCCCCGACCGACGATCAATGAGCGATTGGGGGTCGATGCATCCCCCCTGAGTTTGTCCCCCCCCCCCTTCACGTTGCCCCTGACACACCCTCCTCGCCATCTTCCCCCCTGACCCTCCCCACCCTCTTCAAGGCCACGCGACCCCGCGCTCTGCGCGCAGCTGCCGCAGCGACGCGCTCCGCGCCAGGCCCCTCCCCCTCGTGGTCACCTCAGGCCGCGGTGCGCGAAATGGGGCAGCTTGGGTCGACAACAACGATACCGATCCCGATCCCGCTACTCCCTGGACCTCTCCCAGGTTCCATTCTGACCAGAGTTTCGATGAGAATCCAGCCGTGGCGAAAAGGGCTCTTCGAACAACTCATCCTGGCGAAAGGCCCAACCATGTGCAGTTGTGAGTAACGCAATCGTGAGTATCGTCTTCGGTGAAGCTCCCTATGAGGCCACAAAACGTAAAAAGTATGCCGAAATGGGTGCGGCGCCGCCATGCGCACTGTGCCACTGAGCTCCCTATGAGGCCACGAAGCGTGTAAGAGGTATGCCGAAACGGGTGCGGCGGTGCCATGCGAACAATGCCGCTGGGGCCTTCGGTGGAGCTCTCTGTGGGGCCACGAAGCATGTGAGGGGTGTGCCGAACTGGGTGCGGCACGAAGCATGTAAGGGGTGTGCCATACCGGGTGCGGCACCGCCAGGCGAACGCAGCCACTGGGGCCTTCGGTGGAGCTCCCTGTGGGCCCACGAAGGGTGTGAAGGGTGTGCCGAAACAAGTGCGGCGGTGCCATGCGAAAACAACCACTGTGGGCTACAGTGGAGCTCCCTGTCGGGCCACAAGACGTGTGAGGGGTGTGCCGAACCGGGTGCGGTGGCACCATGCGAACGCAGCCACTGGAGCCTTCGGTGGAACTCCCTGTGGGGCCACGGACCGTGTGAGGGGTGTGCCGACACGGGCGCGGAGGTGCCATGCGAATACAACCACTGTGGCCTTCGGTGGATCTCCCTGTGAGGCCACGAAACGTGGAAGCGGCGTGCCGAAACGAGTGCGGCGGTGCCATGCGAAAACAGCCACTGTGGGCTACGGTGGAACTCCCTGTCGGGCCACAAGGCGTGTGAGGGGTGTGCCGAAACGGGTGCGGCGGTGCCATGCCAACGCAGCCACTGGGGCCTTCGGTGGAGCTCATTGTGGGGCCACGCAGCGTGTGAGGAGTGTGCCGACACGGGCGCGGCGGTGCCATGCGAACGCAGCCACTGGGGCCTTCGGTGGAGCTCACTGTGGGACCACGAAGGGTGTGAGAGCTGCGCCGACATCGGCGTGGCGGCCCAGTGCCGAAGATGATGAGGATACTGGCGACGGTGGCCATGACAATGACGACGAGGACGCGGGGTGGGTCGAGGGAGGTCCCCTCCCTCCCTCCCTCATCCCTCCCTCCCTCCCGCATCCCTCATCCCTCCCTCCCTCCCTCGTCCCTCCCTCCCTCCCTCATCCCTCCCTCCCTCATCCCTCCCTCCCTCGTCCCTCCCTCCCTCATCCCTCCCTCCCTCCCTCATCCCTCATCCCCTCCCTCCCTCCCTCCCTCATCCCTCCCTCCCTCGTCGGCCTGCGTTCTCGGAGCTCCGCGCGGCCCTCCCGGGCTCGGCGCCCGGCACACACACACGCACGCACACACACACACACCTGGCGCTCGGGGGGCGCCGCCCCCACCGCCGACCCAAGAGAACTTCGCGCCGCGGCGCGGCGGAGCTCCACGCCGTGGACGGAGCGCGCAGGACCGGCGCGGTAGCCTCGCCAGAAAAAATGGGCAGGTGGCCCCCTGATGGGCGGGCCGTCGCGCCGAGCCAACACGCAGCGTGTTGGCACGGACGTCGCGAGCCCGGTGCGTGTTGCATGCGGTGGAGGTTTTAGATAAGGATACCTTCGATAAGGAACCCGGGGTCTCGCGACCGATGGGGTGCAAACGTGGACCACCCACCTCTCCTTGAAACAGCAAGGAATGCGCCAGGGTCTGGGCCCAAGGAAGACTTTCCTTATCCAATGCCGCCCCCGTATCAAAACGGGCGCATCGAGGCAGCTAAGCTCCATAAGGAGCAACGGTATTGGTACCTTCCCGTCCTCTGAGCAGTCCGATTGGAATCCGATGGAAACCCGATTGGGATCTTACTGGGCCCACGCTGCAATCCTCTTGGGCTCTATCGGATCTCCGACTGGGGTCTTGTTGGCATCAAATTGGGGTCTTGCGGGGATCCCGCAGTGAGGGGTCCAGGGGTCGGGATGCCACTTCCAGGAAGGCGAGAAGCGATGCAGTCTCGCCGAAGAGGCGGGGGGGCCGACTGGGGAAACCAAAAAGTGGCGATACCGCTACTCCTCGGACCTCTCCCGGGGTGCGTTCTGACTAGAACTTCGAAGCGAATCCAGCGGTGGCGACGAGGGACTCTCAGAAGGCCCAACAAGGGGAAAACAAGGCAAGGGCATCGGTATGGGCACCTTCTCCTCCCCTGAGATAATGGATAATGGAGCTTCCAGTTTGATCAGGCCTCGTGCCCCCACGGACTGGCACACCTCCCGATGACCCATCCGACCTCCTCTGCGGCGCTGGACCCAGCCACGCGGCCTCGTCGCTGCGTGCGACCGCTGCCTCCCTCAGCTCGTCCGCGGTCATTCCCACGCTGCTCATGAGCTGCTGGTACCTGGCAGGCCCGAGCCGAATCGAATCGCGAGATCGGACCGGGTCGCAAACGGACTGGATCGCCAACGACAGTTCCCGAAGCAAATCAAATCGGATCATCAAACCCCGGCTCCGGCTGGCCCTGGCAAGTGCCTGTGAAACGAACCAAATCGAATCGAATCGGAATCGCGCTCGCACCACGCACATCGGAGTGCATCAGATCGCATCGTGTGCGGCCCTGCCGCTGGCCTGGCGCGGCTGTATCTCTCCCCGATGGATGGAAGAGAACCATCCACCCTGAAGCCCGCACCCATCGGTCGGAAGAAGTAGGTAGAAGCATCAAGTACGAAAGCGTTGAAAAGAGATTGGGTTCCGTCCGCCCCCCAAGGAGGACGGAATAGGCGAAGCCTCTCGATCATTGAAGTAGGAAGGCGTTTAAAGTAGATTGGAATCTGGGAATCCAAAAATCCGCCGACTCTGTCGGCGCGAGTGAGGGGCTTTTCCGTTCGAGTCGGGCTGTGTCGTTGGAGTCGTCGTCTCCGTCCTCCTCTGTTCCATTTGCCTGGGCCCTCTTCCTCACACGCGCCGTCCAAAGCAAAATTGAACAACATCAGAGTAGAATCGAAGGGAAGTCCCTTCCCTTTGATCCCTTCCCAGCGCCTGGGAGGGGGTCCTCGGGGAGTCCCGGGGGGAGTCGCCACCCAAATACGTTTCCCCCTGCGCCCCGGCCCCCGCTCCGGCCCCAGCACCGGCCCCCGCTCCAGCCCCGGCCCCGCACCCAGCCACGGCCCAGCCCAGGGGGCCGAAGCCAGGGCCCCGGCCCTGGCCCCGGCCCCCGGCCCCAGCCGTGGCCCCAGCCTCGGCCGATCGGCCCCGGCCCCAGCCCTGGCCCCAGCCGCGGCCCCAGCCCACCAGCCCCGACAGAGCCCACCAAGAGGCTCCAGCGTCGTCGTCGCCGCTGCCGCCGCTGCCGCCGTCGTCGGTCGCCGTCCCCCTTCAGGGTCGGCGGCACCGGCCGCCAGGCCTTCCCAAGATCTGCTTGCAACGACCGACGGGCACGCCACAACCGTTTCGCGCCTGGCGTTTATCGCCTGCTCGCGGACCCCAGGACCATCAGAGATCGAGCGGGAGGAAGAAAATGCCGCAGGAGGAAATGGTCTGGGGCTCGAGTGGTGCTTGTGTCTTACGATGCTGCAGCTGTTTTCGCGACCTCGGATCTCGGGGGAGCAGTAGCAAGAGCAGGAGGGACCCTCCTTCCAGCATCGCCGCCACCCCTCCAGGCGCAGCATGTCGACTGTTGGCCTTGCCTCGCGACGCCAGAACCTTTTGTGCCACCGAGGGCGGTGCGGAAATGCGGGGCCTGTCAGAGTGAGCACGCACTCGCAGCACCCTAGTTCCAGTAGCGCCCGAACAGAAGATGTCAGATAACTACACCTGGCGAACCACCAGCTGTCTTTTGACAACCTGGCTGTGAGGCAGCTGTGCGTCAGCTCAGGGTCGGCCATAGAACAGCCATAGGGGTGCCCACGCTGGGCGTTCCGACGCGCAAGCGACGCGGCACAGAGCTACCCTTTTGTTGCCCTCACCGCACTCACGGACCACATCCCAGAAATAATGCCGAGCACCCAGAAAACCGGCGTCGAACGCGTATCGCCTCCCAGGGCCCGCCACGTGAAAACCACCAAGTGTCGGTACTTCCTCAGTGCTCGAAGTTATGTCTGGTGATCAAGGCGAAGCGAGTTGGAACATCATACAACTACCCCCAAACAGCTACGGTGAGTCACGGGCAACCGCGAGATGGCCAGTCGTTCGGTGTGGCGACGAGCGCACCTCCTGCAGCAGACACCGGCCACTGCACACGTGGCGGGTCTCTCCGAGGTGCAGCGGATACGGTGGAGACCAGGCGGGCGGGTGGCCACCGACAAGCGGAAGCGGTCCAGTCGCAGACGAAACGCAAGAGGTGGTCTCGTGCACCTGTCTTACCAGCGTCGACCCCAAGCAAGATATGAGAGAATTGGTTCTGAGTCATAACAAAACTCCAAGACTCACTGGGGTGGCCTTGACTGGGTTGGCCCTGGCAAGACTCGGTTGGGCTCAACACGACTTGGTCGTACTTGACTGGATTGGCCTGGACTTGACTAGGTTGGATGGGACTGGCCTAGAATGGACTGAGCTAAGCTGGGTTGGAGTAGCCTGGACAGGATTGAGCTATATTGGATTGGATTGAACTGAAATTGGGTTGGCATTGACTGAACTGGTTCGGCCTGGATTGTGTTAGAGTGGATTGGAATGGATTGACGAGGACTGGGCTGGGTAGATTGAAGTGCGTTAAGGTGAAGTGACTTGGACCCGACCGAACTGGACTGACCTTTGCTGGACTGGATTGTACTGGCCTGAACTGGACTGGCTTGCGTTAGTCTGGACTGTGTGGGCTGGGTTGAGCTGGACCACTTTGGATTGGATCCGGTAAAACTTAACTGGGTTCGCCTTCGCTTGACTGGATGGAATTTGCCTGAACTGGGTTGGACTGGTTTGGGTTAGATTGTGTCGGTCTGAACTGGACTGTTGGTAGACGATGAAGGGATAATTGTGTGGTGACGATTGTTTGTTGGGTCAAACCTCGGGTCTCCAGCGGCCGTTCGGGACGATGCGGGCACACCCGGAGCGCTCTCGGCGAGGCGCAGCTGCTGGGAAGCATCCCCCGAGGCTGGAGAGAAGGCCCGAACCGACGAAAACGTCCGAGCTCGTCGGGGTCGCCGCCACGCCGGCACTATGCCGCAGCTTCGCTGCCCCGAGGCGCGACTCTGAATCAACTCGTAGATAGAACAAGTATGTCTGACGCGGTACGTTCGCCAAGACGTTCGGCGGCAACTCATGGGAGCTTCCCATGCAAACCTTGGTGGCTCTTGCAAGTCGACGCTGGTCGACACTGAGTCGACGCTAATCGACGCTACAACGGCGCCATCCCATCGATTACCCAACGCTTTCGACGCTAACTCACTCAAAAGGCGGAATCACGAGGGTAAACGAGACTCCCATGATTTGCTGCCACAGAATAAGTGAGCCAGCAGGTGCCGAGCCAACAGGCAGCGAGGCGTGCGACTGGTCGCACATGGCGTCCCCTGTCTGTAGAGTTATTTTGTTCCCATCCTACTTAAGGACCGCATTCCAGAAATTCGCCGGCCCAACGGGCCAGGGCGTGCTAAGATCTCCGGTACCTGGTTAACAGTATTTCTAGTTCGCGCGCGCGGGGCGGCCCCTGGGGGTCCCCGGGCGAAAAGTACCCCGGCAAGTCCCCGGCAAGTCCCCGGCAAGGTCGGGTCAGAGATGCCGGAGTTCTGTTTCGGAGTCCAAGAGGGCTCCAGATCGGTCCAAGAGGGCCCCGAGAAGCTTTCTAGACGGTCCAAGAGAGGCTCGAGACGGCCAAAGATCGCCCGAAGACGCCCCAGATGGCCCCAAGACAGCCCAAGAGGCCTCCAAGACGCTCCAAGGGCCTTCCAAGAGGCCTCCGAAGAGGGCCCCAAATTGCAAAAATCGTTGATTTTCATTCGTTTTTGTTCGATGATTTTTTGCGTTCTGGCCTTTTCGCTTCCGGACGCTCCAAGAGGGCCCAAGAGGCCTTCAAGACTGCTCCAAGACGGCCCACGAGGCTCCCAAGACGGCCCCGGAGCGGCCCAAGAGCGCCCCCCAGACGGCCCAAGTGCTGCCCAAGGCGGACCGAGAGGCCCCAAGACGGGCCCAAGAGGGGCTCAAGAAGGGAACCGAGAACTGAAAAATCGAGCCCTCCGCCCCAGAAGGCGCCCAGGACCCCGAAAGAGGCCCCAAGAGACTCTCCAAGACACCCCCAAGACGCCCCAATAAGCTCCCGTGAGGCCCCAAGAGGACCAACAACGTCAGGCCCCAGGCCCCAATAGGACCAACAAATACCGCCAAGAGCCCGCCGAAAGCCCCCCAAGAGACCGTCACGAGAGCTCAGGAGGCCCCCTGGAGGCCTCCCGAGTTCTCCAAGAGGCTTAAAAAGAGGCGCCAAGAGGCCCCAAACGGCCCCACCGAGGCTCCAAGAGGCCACGAACGCGCAAGCAAACGCCTGCGATGGCACAATACGGGCCGGCGGAATGAGCGAAGCGATTAAATAATTTCGAGCACCCGGAAAAGTATCAAAAGAGTGTCGAAACAGTGTCGAAACAGTGTCGGGCGAGTGTCTCCCAGGGCCCGACACGTGAAAGCCCTCGAGTTTCGGCACTTTTTCTGGCGCTCGAAATTCTTTCTGGTGGTCAAGGCTAAAGTCGGTTGGAACATCATAACTGTAGAGGACGAAACAACACAAAACATAGACTTTGGCGCGGCGCGCGGATTTCGTGGATCTGCGCTGGACCCCCTGCCTGGCGCGTGGAGCGCGGGGCGGGGGTCCCAGCGCGGATCCGAGACATCCGCGCGGAGCGCCAACAGTTTATGTTCATGGCGCTTTTTCTTCGTCGATGCCTGGGCGCATACGCGGTCCGAGCCTCGCCGCCTTGCCCGCCCACCCATCTGGCCCGCCCGCCGCCGCGGAGGGGGCGGGAGGAGGGCACTGCCGGACGTCCTCGTCGTAGGCGGCCCACTCCCTCTCCTCCTCCTGGGGGCGCCAAGCTGGAAGGGGTGCCTCCTCCTCCTCCTCCTCCTCCTCCTCCTCCTCCTCCTCCTCCTCTTGCTCCTCCTCCTCCTCCCTCCTCCTCCTCCCTCCTCCCTCCTCCCATCCTCCCTCCTCCCATCCTCCTCCTCCCTCCTCCCTCCTCCCTCATCTTCTCCTCTCTTCCTCTCTCCTCTCTCCTCTCCATCTCCTCTCCCCTTCTCTCCTCCCTCCTCTCCTCGCTCATCTCTCTCTCTCTCCTCTC